ATGAAAGAAAACATCGTAAAGAAACCGACAGGCCTAAGACCCAAAAAGTCGACGGAGTGGCTCAGGCACAGAAGGCTGGTCACCTACTAGTCTATTAGAAAAACAAATGATCTCGAAACAGATACAGACAGAGATAGATGCAGTTAGTAATAATTTTACTTAAGAAGTATACCGAGACATAAAAGGTTGTACTTGCGTTGGTTTTTAGTTATTTATCGGCGATTTACGATAAACAACTATGTTTGAAATTTGATTTATATAAATGTGTGCTCCCATTTGGTTCTACCCATTGAAAATGGGGCTATACGTTACTTTTGTTTTTATTAGAAATTATTCATTAAATGTCTCATGAAGTAAGCTGAAATAATTGGTATTAGCATCTTGTGAAATAGTTTTTTTCTATTTTTTTTTGTTGATAAATATTGCCAACGTTCTGAACACTGATACATTGGTAAAAGAACCACAATATACACTTTTTAATGTGACATGTACTTATAGGCAAGAGATAATACAAGTATTAAACAAAACAAATTAATAGTTGTTGATTAAGTTAAAGTTAAAGTGACGGAGAGTTACTTGCTAGTTCTCGTCTGTTCTACGCCATTGATTTGAGAACTGGCAGTACTTAAAGAAAATTTAGAGTCAATTATATGATTAGTGTAATAAGAGTCAATATATTTTGACTTGACTTTGGCAAGAAGTTGCACCACCATATGCCTAATTTCAAAATAAATAAAACACACATCATAGATTGATTTAGATAGGTTAGAAACGAATAATAATGGCGTTGAGCGTTCAAGAAGCTAAAATGCTAATCTAGGTATATGAACATTTTCAAGCTGAAACATAGACATCAGTCTGGAGAGAACAGATGGAACAGAAGTCAAAATAATCAAATTATAAAGATGGAATTTTGTAGCGAAACTTGATAATATGAAAAATCTCTCATACTTTACTCTGTCAGGTTTAGTTAGTAAACAATTCAATAAGTTAATTTTATAAGAACAATCCACAAACTTTAAGTCACCTAATAACATTATTTAAGAATGATAGAGAAACTGTTTACGATTCCAATTGGGACGTTGTTAAAATCGTTCAAAATAATATTTTGATAACAATTATGAAAAGATTAGCAAAAATTATCAGGTGCTTAAAGCGCTTGATAAATACTGTGTTTCTCTTCATTCAATTTAAAACATTTTTAAATTAAACATCTTAAGTTTTAACCGTTCATAATGCATTTGCACCCGAAACTTCAAGTGCTTCGGGCATTGCACAAACAAACACACAACCGCCAGTATTTGTTTTGTTAACGGATTGCGTCGGTTTAGTGGACAACTGTCTCACGTTACCAAACATATTACCTTTGTGACAGGGCAACTTTCAGGGTTGCAGCGCTAAGCATGACTCCTATACGAGTACTTTGCGTGTTGTTCCCACGATAATGTAATTGCGTGATCCTATTTCACCATGCCTACTGCTGATAGAGGACAAATCTTTGTTTTTTCGTTTATATATTTAAAAAAAAATTATTAGTATACTTAATTACTTAAAGATGCCATGTGGAACATGGTGTAATGGTTGCAGCTCCTTACAAACATTTTGTAAAACAAAAAACTTAGCAATTAAAAAGAGTGGCGAAGAGTTTATTTCCAGTTCTTCTCGTCCGTTCTACGCCCTTGATTTAAAAAATAATGTAAAATTAGAAACATTTAATATGTGGTTCTTTATTGACGTTCATAAGTGTACATTATGTTACCTAAATTAATAAATGATTTTTAATTTGAATAAGTTGTATACGTACTAGATTTTGTTATACAAGTCATATTTCACACCACGACTCGACTCTGAATCTCACCATTAACTAGATAAATTCTAAATTAATTTTAATTGGAACAGTGCGTAATAAAATGTAAATTTTTATTAAGGAGTGGTTGGAATTTTAAAATAGCATTGTAGTCAGAGTTGTTTGGCCTAGAGCCTTTAACTGTCATCCCGTAGGTCGTAGGTTCGCATCCGAGCTGTGTCAATAGACTTTCTATGCGTACTCGTAAGGAACATGAGGAAACCTTAGAACCAAAAAGTCGATGGCTGTCTCAGCGCCTGACTGATCTTACCTATAAGAAAAATAATCACGAAACAGGTAGACATCTGACGCTAAAACCAAAAGGCCACTTTAAAAAAAAGTTATAAAGTTTGTAGGTATATAAGTTCGTTCGTAGGAACTTCTCTCCAAAATACTGAACCGACTTCCTTCAACAGTGGAAAGCCATGCGATAGCTATACTTGAGTAGTGTGCTGTGTTAGCCTTCCGTTCCACCGGAGTATCCGAAGAGTTATGGAGAAAAGTGGGCATTTGTACACTCTTGTGTAAACAAGCAACTCGATGTATCGGTTAGGGCTTTTCAAGACAGGCACGACCTTCAGTAATGAAGAGTACGAAGAAGAAGAAAAAGACATTCTTATGCATTGTAACAAAAACAAAACATTACATTATACAAAAAATAGATTCGCCAGTGTCCCGTATGTGACCGAATCAGGAAGGAGAATCTGCGCTCGAATCCTTGTGCATTATAGTATCTTCTGATTAAATTGCCAGTCTCTTCTTATTTTATAATGGCTTCCCATTTAAAAATATAGATTCGCCAATGTCCCGTAAGTATGTGACGGAATCGGCTCGGATCCTTGTGCATTATAGTATCTTCTGCTTAAATTGCCAGTCTCTTCTTATTTTATAATGGCTTCCCATTTAAAAATATAGATTCGCCAATGTCCCGTAATGTGGGAGAATCGATGGCAATACAGATTAGTCTTCGTGACCGAATCTATGAATATTATTAGACGTTTATGATAAGTGTTAGTGCACGTTAGTATTAAGTGCTACACAGTGAAAAATCCTTATTAATAAACTTGGTTTAAGACTTAAATTACTTATTAGTCTTAAGTAAGGCTACATTGTAATGTTCCATGTCGTAGTAAAGACACATGTATTAAATAAAAAAAGTTAGCCGTTTATTATACAGTGAATACAGATCAAAATACAATAATTAGATAAGTACTAAAATAGATTGCATTATGCTGTAGGTACTGTCCTCTTTACAACATCACGTTAGAATTTATAAAAACTGTAGGTATTAATGCCTGAACTCAAGCAACTTATTCTAGGCATGTAATAAAATAGGCATTCATTATGAAGATGTTAATTAAATAACTAATAAGCCAAGGGCACATGGGCCGGACAGGCGGACAGTGAGACGTGTCAATTACGAAAACAAGGGATTAACTTGGACCGATAGGGTTGTTAATTTGCGACTCATGCGATATTTTCATTTCGTTATTTGTGACAGATTGGTTATCTTAGATAGGTCGGTTGAAACACGTTTTATAACAATAGTTATATATCCGGGTTCTAATATCACTTTACATTACATATAAAAGCTCACTTGTAGTGTAGAATGAAACTATATGATGCATAGACAAATCGAAATTTATGACACTAGACTTCCAGTAAAAACACAACTTTGAAAATGCACTATCCAACAATAACAGTTAATTGAGTGAATAAATTTATTATTTATTATGTATATAAACACACTAGCAGCTTAATAAGGTGATGCACGCGTATATGGGGATTTGGAGAAATTATCCAACCTATTCTTAAAAGAGTCCAAAGAGGCTGCACTAATAACACTTTCCGGAAGCCTATTCCAGTCGGCTACTACTCAGTTTGGGAGAAAATTCTTTAGGGAATTTGTATTCTATTGAGTGGTCTTCAGTTCTTGCCAGACACGCCAATAGTTTACTTATGACGTTTTACTCCACAGTACGAGCTAGTCTTAAATATGCACATACACTTTTGTCTAGTCTTTATAGTCCATTAGAGCATAGCCGGGATCGAACCTTTGACCTCAAGGTATGATAGTCGCACGCTGGTACCCCAATGCCACTGCTATTTAACAATAAAACTTATTTATAATAAAAAGCACCAAAGTATTTAACATAGGTTGACTACGTTTTGTCAATCACAAGGAATACAAAACGCCTAAACAAATTTAAAGACACATTAACCCGACATGTCCGACACCACGCTCTTGTTTACTCTTCTACAATAATAAACGTCAAAACTTCACTTTTCGGCCTGCAGGTTACCCCGCCGCAGGGGGCCGCTAAGAGCCTGCATTGAAATATCTTTTATCTCAACGTTTGAATTAGAAAAAATTGACACCTGTCATAAGTCAGATCCCACGTCGCTTTTGTATAAATAGTTGCGAATGCGAGACAAAAAGTCGTACGGTTCATTGACTTGCGAATGGACTGATTCATAATATTTATGCACATATTTAAATTATGTATAATTAGCATTGAATGATATATGAAATCAATTTGCAATTAGATATTGAATACAAAAAGTATATGGTTTACTAAAGTACCATAAGCGCGAAATATTAACTCAAAATTGATGAACCAATCAAGCCATAAAAAACCTTAATATAGAAATGTATGTATGCTGTATCGCACTGACTCAGTGGTTAACCTGGGTCCGATTCCTGATAAAAAATATTTGGCTTCAGTCGCCACTAGGCCACCTAAGGTCGTAGGTACGATCCCCGACTGCAACAATGGACTTTCTTTCTACATGCCCCTAACATTCTCTCGAACGGTGAAGGAAAACATCGCGAGGAAACCGGTTGCCTAAGGCCCAAACTCTCGACGGCGTGCGTCAGGCACAGGTGGCTGATCACCTACTTGCCTATTACATTGACAAATGATCATTAGACATTAGACATATCAACAGATACAAAAATCTGAGGCCCAGACCTAAAACGGTTGTAATGCCACTGATTTATTTAGCTTTTGTGTAACATAAGCGTATAAGCCTAAAACATATGCCGAAACTTTTGCCGCAGGCCCCTCAAAACTTTGAACAACATTCCTTATTTTAGCTTGATAAATGAAAATACCTAATTTAAATGTATTATTTCTTTACAGTTCCCAAACTGATGATACCTCCGGCGGACTTTGTGAATCAAGGTGTCCTAGGAAGTCCCCAGGATGGGATCCGAACCCCTACTGGCAGTCAAATGCTAAGCAACCCCATCCTCAACTTGAACAACACCGGCAGAACCAACTTCACCAACAAACAGCTAACAGAACTGGAAAAGGAATTCCACTTCAACAAATACCTCACGCGAGCGAGAAGGATAGAAATAGCCTCCGCTCTACAACTGAATGAGACGCAAGTCAAGATCTGGTTTCAGAATCGACGAATGAAACAAAAGAAGCGGATCAAAGAAGGTCTAATAGTCGCTCCTGAAGTTACACCTTCCACCTCACACGGCATTGGCTCTAATGAAAACAGCCGAGAATCGAGCTAGAGTGACAATTGACATTCCAGTGGAAAATCTAAAATATCATTCGACTATGTGCCAAAATTTTACAACTATAACCGGTGACATTCATCCGTAACTTAAAGGATCTTTGGACAGTTACCGCTCAATGTTAAATAGGTCCTACTGAATAGTCTTACACCGAAATTAGTGGCGATTCGGAATCGAGATTTATCGCGAACAAGGATGTATGTCAAAATTCAATACATACGGGAGTCACAGTTAGCGCACAAGCCTTGTTTCCGAATTACGAGTTTCTCCATACAGATATTTGCGAGAGACATATTCAACATTAGCGGTTGTCTAAAGTCCACAAAGCAAAACACAATCTTTAAAATTTTATTTAATACAATAAAATTTTATACAATACCTACCTTTAGCAGCTACATGCTAACATAATATGGAACATTCGTTGCCTTTTGCGTTCACTGTGTTTTCGTTCAAGTTTTCAAAAAACTTTCCTTAGAGGTCAAGGAATAAATAAAAAAGCCGTCTTCGAGCTTTGCAACGTATTGCGATTAATAATTTATATTTAATGTATAATTTTGGCAAATAGTAATAAAAACATTTCCCAAGGTTTTGAGAACAGTGGCTAGTCTACGATGATAAATATCCCTGTCAAATGTAAGCTCAAATAGATTAAGCTTCATATTGTAGATTAGAAATCGTAATGGTTGCAGATAATTAATATAATATTTTGTAATTTTTGCGTAAAATGATGCTAGCGTATTGTTAATTTATAAGATTTTTAATAATTTTATAGGTGCTTCATTGTTTAAATGTGGAATGAGATTATTTACTTTAAGTTTGCAACATTAAAATTGAACATACCCAGGCCATGTATGTAATATATTCAGATACGGAAATATAACGTAGAGAAATGTTAGTCTGTGGTTCAGTAAAATACCAATTTTTTTACGTTCAATTGATGGTATTACGGCAACATATTCTTTAAAATGGCAAATACTAGTGCAGACTAGAATAAATGGTGGCGTATTTAGATATTATAAATTCCTTGGGTTCTCCAATAGTTTTCAGGCGATCATAAAGTTCATAGATTTAGCGCTAATGTAACATGGATTTTTTGTCATAGACGTGCCGGTTTCTACGGGGTATTTGTTGTACCTACACAAAACAGTTGTACGGAAGTTAAACTTATATCACATAAAACTTTGGTTTTGGATGAAACGCCTGGGTATTTTCAAAAAATGCCAACTCAATTTTATACGTTTTTACATTGTATAATGCTTTTCGTTTATAGAATATTTTTACCAAAGCTGCTAAAACTTATTTATTAAGCAACATTTCAAGTGTAAGTAATGTACAGGATATAAAATAACTGTATATAATTACAATTGGTCTTTAGATTTGACTGTGTGTACATTTTTGTATTGTTAAGTATTTTAAATTCATCAATAAATTAATTGCTCTATTTTCAATTGAAGTTTTATTGTATATTGTATGTATGTAGCAATCAATTTAAAGAGTGTAAATATGTACTTAAATAGATGATAATTGTATTGTCAATTCTGGGGTAAAATTTGATCAAATAAAACGGCATTATTTAGAAAATTAACTTATTTCTTTTTTAAGTCTGGGTACATTATTTCTATATTTTTTTATTTTTGAAATTTAAACGATTTATATTAGGACTATGGTGAAATATATAAACAGAAAACCCGAAGCCTAAAATTAAAATTATTCAATGACAAAACATTTATATAATAGTAAGCAGAAAATTCTATAAAAATAAAAAAAAACACAAAATATTTTGTACTTTGTCCTTAAATTTTATTCGTGTCCTTGATTTCGAATTTCAAGCGATCGTTGTTCAATTTATCAATTATTGATGTGTTCTTAAAGGCTGCTCCGGGCGTTAAAACTCCACATCTAGAAATAACAATCTAAATCATAATATGTACCTTTATTTTTAAAGTAATTATTTATCTGTTCCTGTCAAATTATGTTTATGCTAAATAAAACAGAGTCTGCGCCATCTATGGTCCAATCATAGACACGCGACGTGACCCTTTTGAGTCATTCGTCTTTTGTTTATTTATTAAAGTACACGTCACATATAATGCATAAGTTACAATCTATCTATTATAAAATACATGACAATTACGGATAACATACATTTTACGAATAATAAAATATTACACTTCCAATTTTAGTTTTTACTAGCAATTATATTTAACGTACAGTTGTACATTATCAGAGCACAGTAGTATAGATTCAAAACAACAGTACATGAAGCCATATTAAATTACTATAAATTCATTTACTAACTAATATTTAATTAAAGAGTCTTATAAGACTGATTTATTTTTATAGGTATAGTAGTGAAGTTGTTACAGCAACGTTCAAGAATTTAATTTTCTTACATCAAACGAATACGAAAAATGCATAAAATACATAGTATAATTGCTACTTATTATTAATACATACTTGGGAATTTTTTCTCTCTCCGTAAGAATAGTGAGTGCAGAGTAGATTACAGCAATCGCCGTTCCCTCGTATGGCGCATTTCGTTTACCAATTGGCTAGATAAAAATATTACATAGTATTAGATCTAATAGAGAACGAAAAATCTTTATAACACAATAAAAAGGATGTTTAGTTAAAAGAGAAAGTGCACTAGTATTCCCTGTGTCGTGGGCATCTACTCTCTTCCATTTCCACACGGTACTTGACGTAATAATAATTACTTACAGTTTTATAGTTTAACTATTTAAGATCTACCATATTGACGCTATGAATTATTTTACGTTATGCATTTCAGAATGTCCATTTTGTCTATGTTAGTAATATCATAAACTAGTAGCCGCCTCAGTAGCGCAGTAGTTAACGCGTCTCATCTGATTTCGACAGAAATAATTGTTTCCTGTTGGAAGTTACTGAAGGCCACAAAGTTGTATTTGCCCAGGTACTGGTGTCAAGTTACGAGAACTATATATCGGATTAAATTTTAATCATTTAACATATACAATGAACTGTATGAGTCCACCCCCTCGGTCATGGGGGACATAACTCCCACTTGTGATCAAGTATCACTGTTTGACACTTTTTATATGATAACTAAATAGCTATTGCAATATTTACAGATTATAAACTCTTGTGATTACGGTGTTATTTATAAAAAATAAACTGACTGAACTTACACGAGTTCTAGATCCGCCCTTGGTGTAGATACGAAAAATTTAAAATTAATGTTGTTGCAACACTTGAAACGAACCGAAAGGGAAAAGGGATTTTTTTATATCTCTCATTATATTTTTTATTCTTTTTTTTATTGATTATTGTTATTATGTATGTGTGTTTCTGTTAGTAATAAATGTAATGTCTATGTCTGTTTATTTCGTTGGATGAAAAAATGTAAAGGTCTATCGTCGTCCTTCGTTTGTCGTCGAAAACCATCCATAGCAACCAATAAGAATTGGTATAAAGGTGATATTGATAAAATTTAAAGAGAATACAAGAAAAAAAATGATTACAGATTTTTATTAATCATCTATACTAATATTGAAAGCAGAGTTTGTTTGTTTAGTTTTAATGCCATATCCTCTGGAGCGTACTAATTGAACTTTAATAATAATAATAATAATAAAAACTTTATTAATGACAGAAGGGTTTGTGACAGAAATCATAAATCGCTAGTCCCCACACTAGGGAGGCCCTGTGTTGTGGGTAACTAGAAAACAATTATTTCGTGGTACATGTTAAAATTAGTTAAAAAAAAAGATGTAAATAAAAAAGAAAAAATACTTATAATAGTTATAAATTTAGTGTTACAAATGAAGTGAATGAGTGAGTGTGTGAATAGGTGAGTATGCGCATGTATTTGAGAATGTAGCTGAAAGTTGTTATGATCGTGCACTGTGTCTGTGTTAGTTTATGAAACCTCAAAGTCATACCAAGATATGTAGTAATGCCTCTGTAGATTCGAAATCCAATTTGGCTAGTGTAGTTTCTATGTGACTTGCTAATTTATATCTGGATAGTTTTACGATCTCAGAATCCATAGATTTGGAAATTTTTTTTATAAAGGAAGGGCCCCTAAATGCAAAGGAGCGTTGTCCAAACACAGTCCTTCGTTTTGGCGTTGGGAATGCTAAACGTCTGTTCTTAGATGTGTCCTGAATTGTGAGCCCATGGAATCTATGATATCTTGAACAGGTCGCCAAGATGTAAATATTGTTAACATGTAAAATACTTTGATTTAAATATTGTTCATTTATCGAGGAAGTCTTTCAGCCATATACCATCACGCTTTTACCTTAAAAAATGGGTTCAACTAAAAATTTATCAAATGCCAGTAATTTATAAACGATAATACTCACGTAAACTTCGACTATCATCTCGTCCCGTGGAGCTCCCTTTACATCTCCCTTCCAACCAACTCCCACCATCAGATAATCAAATCTCAGTTTTTCCATTATCTTTTCATCTGGATCTCCATACGTTACCAGCCCCAGTGAGGCGATCCTTGGGTATTTTATAAAGAAAGTAGATAAACAGAAGAATTTCAATAGGAGAAGGATGAGGAAGCCACCAATAATGGAAGCGAGAGAACTGAAAAGAGATGGTAGGGAATGGTAACGCTTAAACTGTATTGGACGGGAGTGCTTAAAATAGTTCTGGGTTCGCTCAACAACGATTTCCTCCGACCCTGGGAATGGTACGCACCAGCGGTTGAATCTCTTATGCACGAAAATCCTGTAATAATAAAATGAACACTAATGTAATCGAAACAATTTCTTTGTCTTTAGTACATAAGCTCTAAAACTACTTTCGTTTTGATGATTTTCCGTTGTTGTTTAATATAACAAATACATTGTTCATTAAAGATATCTCCACGTGTATTAATTCGTAGCACATAATAGCGCTTATACATGAAAGAAATACTTAAAGTAAACTCTCTTTTGAAAACAGTTGTGATTGAAAATTTGCGCCTTTAGTTATTAATGAGCAATTATGTATATTTTATTGATTGCTTTAACATAATTTATAGTAATCGAATCAATTGTAATATTCATAGCAAAATACAATTTAAAGCTAAGTAAAACACCATAAGATTGCAAGAAATCATGAATCTACAAAAAAGAAATCGCTGCGTTGTTAAAATAAGTTCGATAACACAGATAAAAATTTAACATTACGTGTACGTTTCATGTGTCCATCGACATATTATCTATATGAAATATAGTAATTTTTATTTTATTTTATTATTTTTGCTTTGTCAAACTAATTGCATGTTTTGAAGCGACCACTGATTAAGGCTTGTTGCAAGTGTTGAAGCAATTCCAACCAAAGAAACATTATTTAGCCAAAGATCCTAAATGATGTAGGAAGACTTTCGATATCACAGAAGCATTAAACATTTTAATTTTTTTTTCAATATGATACAGTAACTTATTTATTATTCTCTTTACTAATCCATATAAGTATGTGCTTTTAAGTAAAGTACATATATGACCATCATACCTTGTCTTTAATTCCGGCTCCAATTTAAGATCTCTTTGTACTTTCTTTGAACTGCCCCAAAAAGGTTTCGCCATCGTACTGTAACATAATTTTTAAGAAATCATCTCCGTTTGCAATAAAAAAATAATAATAAAAAAAATATATATATATTAATTTTTAAGGAAGAGATAACCACTATTTGAGCAAGAATAAATAATAAGTAACGTGTTTGTCTGATGCGAGCGACTAAGAAGTGAAGCCGACCGTGGTTTTTTTAGTGGAATCTCGCTGTTGTCCTGCGGACATCGAGGATCACCTCGATGCTCCAGATCCTCTCGATGATCCAGAATACGAAATTCCACCCGTTGATACGGGTTGACTGTCTCGACGTCCGATGATGAAACTCAGCTGCAGGTATGAATCCGAACAACTCCTCTGAACACTCTCCATGGTAAATGCGGTAGAAGATGCAGAGTGACCCCACATCTCTACGCAACGCCAAAGGATCAAGCCGCTCGGAGAGGGATTGGTCGTCGACGATTCGAACCGCTCTGCGTTGTATACGGTCAAGTGGAAGGAGCTGGTACTGGGGAGCCCCCGCCCAGAGGTGAGAGCAGTACTCCATGTGGGGCCGAATTTGCGCTTTATATAGTTGCATGCGGTGGCCCGGAGTGAAGTACCGCCTCGCCTTGCTGAGCACACCAAGCTTTTTGGAGGCTAATTTAGCCTTTCCCTCCAAGTGACCGCGAAACTGAACGTCGTTAGATATATTAACGCCAAGTATTCCAATGCTGGCTGTGGCTTTAAGAAGAGTGTTTTCGAAAAGAGGAGTAGCGATAAAGGATGTTTTTTAGCGGAAAACGCGCAAACTTGTGTCTTCTTGGGGTTAAATTGGACTAGGTTTTGTCTGCCCCAGTCTGAGACTCCACGTAGTAGAGTTTCGACTTCAGACACAAGTTTGTTCCGGTACTCATCAACAACTGCCCGAGAAATACCTGCCCGGCCAGTGTAAAAAGTATCCCCAGTGCTGTCATCCGCATAGCAATGAATGTTGCTAAGTTGCAACATATCATTGATATGCAAAAGAAATAGGGTCGGGGATAGAACACAGCCTTGTGGGACCCCAGCGTTCACAGGTTTAAGGTCGGAACATGCTGCGTCAATGACGACCTTGATGCTCCGATCGGCCAGAAAGCTGGAGATCCAATCGCATAATTTCTCGGGAAGCCCATAGGCTGAAAGCTTCGAGAGCAGTGCTCTGTGCCACACCCGATCGAAGGCTTTCGCTATGTCCAAACTTACCGCCAGCGCCTCCCCCTTGGACTCAATTGCCTCTGCCCATCTATGGGTAAGGTATACAAGGAGGTCACCAGCTGAGCGACCACGACGAAAGCCGTACTGAGAATCGCTAATCAACTGGTGGCCCTCTAGATACCACGAGAGCTGGCAATTAATAATGGTTTCCATTATTAATTGCCAGCTCTCATCTCATCGCCTTTTTTAGGGATCGGATGTATCGAAGCGGTCGTCCAGCACTTCGGGACAGTGCCGAACGAGTACGGGTACCGGAAAAGGTGCGTTAAGACCGGAGCCAACTCAGGAGCACAAGTACGCAGCACAATTGGGGGGATGCCATCCGGCCCGCTCGACTTATGAATGTCCAAGGAAGATAGTGCTTTGCGGACAGCACGTTGCCGGAATGTGATTTCCGGCATCGAAGAATCACACCGCGAAATGGTCGGTGGTGATCTTCCTTGGTCATCCAAAGTCGAATTGGACGCGAAGAGACAGCCCAAAAGGTCGGCCTTCTCCTTCGCAGTGTGGGCCAGAGAGTCATCCTCCCTGTGCAGTGGCGGAATGGCGGGCTGACAAAAATTCCCTTGGACAGCTTTGGCGAGAGACCAGAAGGCTCGAGTCCCTGAAGGGAGCTGGGCCAATCTCTCGCCAAATCTGGCAATGTGCTCTGACTTTACCTTAGTGATTTCCCGTTTGAAGAACCTGGAGGCTGAGTTATATGCTGTTTTAAGTTCGCTGGTATTGGCATCACAAGATTTCGCCGCTTCTGCCCATGCCTTAAAGCATTCTCGCTTTCGACGCGAGGCCGCCTTGCAAGAACGTTTAAACCAGGGCTGAGACTTGCCACCGATCGGCACCGCACAAAATGGAATAAAGAGTTCCATGCCCTGCAGAATCACTTCGGCGACAGAGGCGGCGACGGAATCTGGAGCTACCGGCGAAAAGCACATAGGCCCCCAAGGGTAGGACGCAAAGAAAGACCGCATCCCGTCCCAATCTGCTGACTTATAGTGCCAAATACGGCGACAACCCATAAAGCGGGGCCGTGAAGGGCGCGTAGATGGCACAGTACTCCGGACCACACAATGATCCGATTAACCCAATGGCGGGTCAACAGAGACTTGATAGTTCTCCGGATGTGAAGTCAGCAGAAGGTCCAACAAAGAGGGTTTATGACCATCCACATCTGGTATTCGCGTAATCGCAGGGACCATTTGTGTCAGGTCGTAGGCTAAAGCAAAGTCGTGAAAGGATCTTCCCGCGTGATCGGTGGTTTCAGAGCCGAGCCAATCGGCATGGTGGGCGTTAAAATCGCCAAGTATCACGATTTCAGCGGTAGGAACCCTTTCGAGCAGGGAATCTATAGCCATTTGGATGTGCTCAATGAGTCGGTCAGTTTCGGTATTTCCGCTATGGGACCTATACAGGCATGCGTAGAATCGCGGATGGTCATCGCAGTCTACGCGCAGCCAGAGGTTAGATAGGTCCCTTCCTTCAAGCGTCCCGAGGCGACGAGAACAGATATCCTCTCTGACGTACACGCAAACTCCCGCCCGCGGCACAAATGAATGTTCCAATTTGTACCCCGGGTAGGAGAGGTTAATTAGGAAATCTGAGTCTCGGTAAGAAAGAGCAAGGCCGGCTTCGCAGTCTCTAAATGGTAGTGGACTGCGTTGATATTGGAATTGAGACCCCTAACATTTGTGAAGTCCACGGCGAGCGTGGACGGGGGTGCCTTTGTTGAATTGCTCCGTTTGCCCCGAGAACGATAACTGTTTTTGTAGAGCGCAGAATTGCCCCCCCCAGAATACGAAGGGCAGCCTGTGCGTCCACCACCGGGTGCTGAGTGTCCCGGTGTTGGACGCCCAGAGGGGGATTCTCCACCGCGAGCGCGTGTGGTACCCCCCTGGGGTAGATTCTGTTTGTTCTGCACCTTCATATTTCACATGGGGGGGGGGGAGGGGGATGGGCTCCGGGAGTCTCCCTCACCGTACGAAACGCGAGTACAATAAGGCGAACCTATTGCATCACTTCACGCCGGTTTTCTAAGAGACAGTGGTACTGCCCCGGTCGTGCCTGCCCATTTGGCTGAAGCCCGAAGGCAACAGCATGGCACTCCCACTAGGAAAAGTTTCGATTAGAAACTAATAATAAAATGGACGCATTAATGGCTACTTCATTTATGATTGTAATTTTATAAACTTATGTAATAAGAAAAAAATATTTTTTAAATTGTGGCTTTAGGTCGGTTATCGAAAGCAGGCGCGTTCACAGTACTCACACTTATGAAATTTACTATACAGAATGTTTAAAAAATGACTTTTTTGCCATGCTATATATTTTAAATAAATAAATTTTAGTCTACTCTGGTTTTAGTATGGTTGGGTGGGTACTGGGTTGTAAATTAATAAAAATATGTCAATACATATAAATATTATGTGCATACGAGGGTGGATCCAAAAGTTCTAAGCCCGACCAAGAACGCAAAAGAGTAGTTTGTGTAAATATTTTTTTTATTTTTCGACATAAGCTCCATCTAGCTCAACACACTTCACTTTTACTTCACTAACAATTCTTTCAATACTCCTTAGAAACCCCTGTCGCATCTGATGTCAAATTAAAAATAAAAAAAATTTCATTAAACTGTTTTCATTAAGATGCTTAAAATAATTAAAAACATTGTGCATTTCACGAGATTGCCCTGGTAATGTTTAGACGGAATATATTTCATAAGACATTTTTTTCAAAGTATTCCAACCTCCAACCAAATAAGTAAACAATTACAGAGAAAATAATAACGAGAAAAAAGATCAACATGTACAGTAAAGATCAACATAAACAGTAGCAAAAGCAAAACAATAACTGTCTCTTTTATACTCATAAGCTAGACCGAGCGCGAGAGAGACGGACAGTCTTTTCATGATGCATATTCAGTTTGACATAACGCCTCGCGCTTATTCACAGACACTACACAAGCACAAAGTGTAAATGTGTTGCCCCTCGCCTGATTTCTGTATGTTTCGAGATAATTTGTTTTTTTCGTAGAACTTTAGTTCACAAAACAAAGTGCTTTTACATTAATTTCAATCTAGCCTATACAATAATTATGGCTAGTAATATTATGTTGACTTAAGTTTCTAGAATACTAGTGATAGCTTAAGCCAAGGTAACGTTCATTAACAGTCTTAGTCATATAATGTTTTGACACTATGTTCGTGTGTCGGAGATACCGCACTTGCACTTATATTCACTACACTAGATTTATTAACTCAAAAGGTTTAGTTCTCTTTAGGCGTCTCGTTCCTGTTCCGACTATAATCAAATAACATTATATTCTCCTAGAAGCTTATCTGTCAACCCATCAAAAACAGAACTAATACTTTTTACCAACCGAAGAGTTCTTGGACCGTACAAACTTCCGAAACTCTTCAACACTGAACTCATACTCAAGAATGAAATCAAGTACCTGGGTGTGATTTTGGACAGTAAACTGCTCTGGAACAAACATCTAGAACACAAACTAAACAAAGCAACGATCGCCTTTTATCAATGCAAAAAGATGCTAGGCGTGAAATGGGGCTTATCGCCTAAGATAACATTATGGATATACACTGCCATAATTAGGCCAATGCTAGCCTATGGAGCCCTTGTTTGGTGGCCCAGAACGACTTCAAGCAATTCCCGTTCGAGGCTTGCTTTGTCCGCTGCTAGCGGTTGCATGAAAACAACACCAACTGCAGCAATGGAGATGGCCCTGCAGATCTTACCCCTGGACCTACACATACAGCAGGAGGCAGCCCTGGCTGCTATCAGGCTTATGGTACTGGATCTATGGGGAAAAAATCACTACAGTGCACACACAGCGATTCTCAACAGGGCAATAGAGTATCAACCTCTTATTGCTGCGCCCTGTGATAGAATCACTAACCAACTAATATTTAACAGGAAATATCATATACAACTGAGAGAAGAGGAACATGATCGGTCGACCGTAAATGAGCTACGTATATATACAGATGGATCCAAAACAGGGTCTGGCTCAGGCGCTGGCATATTCTCTCTTGATCTCAACATCAACATACACCTACCCTTGGGCACACAGAGCACGATCTTTCAATGTGAATGTGTCGCCTTAACCGAAGCAGCCAGAGCCGTGCAGCGGCTAGGAATTAATGACTTTTGCATTAAATTCGTATCCGACAGTGCATCCGTGCTGATGGCGCTCGGAAACAAAAAAACCAACAGCAAACTAATACTGGAGTGTCATGAAGCACTGGAGGGCATAACCCGAACCAATAGGGTTACCTTGCAGTGGATTAAGGGACACAGTGGATCTCTCGGCAATGATGCTGCGGACGAGCTTGCGAGAAGAGGCTCCGGAATGATGCCTGCTGGCCCGTATCCGCTCCTTCTTTTGCCCTTCTCGCTGGTGCGAACCTGGATTCGCCAGAGATCCGCTGAACTCCAGCAACAACGATGGTCGCATGGTGCGGCCTGCAGACAGTCCAAAGTGGCTCTGCCAGCAGTAAACCCGCAACTGACAAAGCGACTACTTAACTTAAATAGAACCAACCTTAAAATAATGATAGGGACAATAACGGGTCATTGCCTCCTAAATAAACATCTTTTTATCCTAGGCGCGACAGACAGCCCCCTGTGCAGAGGCTGTTTCAGCGCAGAGGAAACAGTCACCCACGTAGTCCTGGAATGCGAGGCTGTGGCTAATCAACGTGAAAAAATCCTCGGAACGGTGAGGTCGCTCCGGGAAGCCTGTGAAGTGCCCAGGAGACTTCTGTGCTTCTGGAAGGAGCTAGGCTGGCTAAATTAGCCAGGACTCGTACGCACAACGGACCAACCACGAGTCTAATTGCGGAGAAAGGAGTCCTTCTACCCTAACCCTAACCCCTCTCCTAGAAGCAAATTAGGTACAAAAAAGTACTCACTCGTAGACCAAAGCCTCCCACGTACTGTTCCTGATGACGTTCTTTGGCAAGCCTCTGATCACGTCAGGCTGTGTCGTCAGATATGCTTCTACCGAATTCAATGTTCCTGTAACAAGTGGAACTATCTAATATGTTGATAAAAGAACACCAAGTTAGTAGATTAAAATCGAAAATACTTAAAAGCTTTATCGCATAAAAAATATTCCGTCTTCAAATGAAAAATACTATGAGTACTTATTACTATACGAATACAGTTCGAAAATGCTTTTAAAAGCTTTATCGCAAAAAAAAAATCCGTCTTCAAATGAAAGATACTATGAGTACTTATTACTATACGAATACGTTTTCAGCAAACGTCACGTGCCCCTGGCGTAAATTTTAATATTGCGAATTCAAGTCTATTTAAAGGCTGCAACCCCGACATTTATTTCTAGTAAACCTTAAAATACATACCCCGGTCAGAATGAAATACCTAAATAATTTTTTGTCGAGCGTTTCTTAAAGAGCGTGTCTTTTTACCAAAAAATTGGATCATACCTGTTAATAATTAAATTATATTATTATTTGGTGCTACAATCTTGCGTAGACGCCGTGTGAGTAGTGGTATATATATACCTTGGAACTGCTGCTGAAGGAAAAGGACTCCCAGGTCAGCAGTTAAGCATCCAAGACCACATGCATTGATCACTAATACACCACTGTCGCATGCTGCGGCATCATATTCCTTGATGGTTTCCAAGAACTTAAACAATACAAGTCATAATTTTGCTTTAAATTTTAAAACAGACAAAAAACTTTAAAAATCTAAAAAAGCAAGTGTTCGAAATACATATTTTTAATTTTATTAAATTTGATGAGGGTGTTCTTTGTGGTACAGCAAGTACAAATTATTCCGATAGCTGGTGCATTCGTGCAAATTTCCTTTAGATGAAAAAAAGATTATATAATTTGATTCGCAGGAATTATGAGATCACAACGTGGTAAACCAAGAACTTGGCATGCCTAGCCAAAGAATCTCTAAATGGACAGTGAAACTATAACAGCTTTTTTTAAATTGAACATTAACTCCACAACAGTGGATAAAAGGACACAGTGGATCTTTCAGCAATGATGCTGTCGACGAGCTTGCAAAGAGAGCATCCGGACTGCTTCCGGCTGGTCCGTACCCGCTCCTTCCCTTGACCTTCTCGAAAGTGCGGACCTGGATTCGCCAAAAAAATCGCCCCATTGAACTGAAAAATCACCGTTGCCCGGAAAACGCGGAATACAGCCATTCCAAAATGGCACTGTCAGTAGTAAACCCGCTAGTGTCAAAGCGACTTCTAAGCCTCAACAGAATCAATCTCAAAATAATGATAGCTAGGGATAATTACGCGCCATTGCCTCCTAAATAAAAATCTCTTTGTCCTTGGCGCGATGGACAGTCCCTTGTGCAGAGACTTTTTCAGCGCAGAGGAATCAGTCACCCACGTAGTCCTGAAATCCGTGTCTTCCCAAGAAGTAGCAATCCTCGGAGCAGTAAGGTCGCTTTGTGAAGTCTGCAAAGGGCCCAGGAAACTTCTGAGCTTTTGGAAGCTGGGCTGGCTTAATTAGCCAGGAAATGCAACGGACCAATGTGAGTCCGCCCTACATATTGAATATTAGAATCTTTACCGTAAGTTCACTGCACACATCTATGTAATGTATTTTACATTCAATGGCTGCTTTAACAAGTGCCTCTCCATACCACATGAACGGTCCGCTACAGTTCATTATGAGTTTACAGCGACGACACATGGCCTTAAGTGATTCTTCATCTTCCGCATCAGCTATTATTATTTGGATAGCCGATACGTCTTCTCCTGAAAATTTAAAGAAAGTGTATGTTCTATTAATAATTAATAAAAATAATATAAGGCTTTATTCAGACAGATTTTTACATAAATTTAATCTTAAACTAGTGACTCTAGTGAGTCGGTGACACCGACAACCCATCTGTTTGCCCAAGTCTGGCAAAGCCCTCCGCCATTTCTGGTCTCATGCTCTGTTCTGAGCTTTCCTTGTCCATATTTTCCCAGTTACGGTTTTTATTTCGGCCTCCCACCTTCGAAACTGTCTATATCGTTTTCTTCTCTTATTTATTGGGTACCAATATATGATCCTTTTGTTCCACTTTTCTATATCTCTTATTATATGACCAGCCCATTTCCATTTCAAATTCAAATGTAAAAATCAATATAGGTAACACATTGTACTCTTATGATCGTCAAAAAAAAAGAAATGTATATGAAATGCTTCTAACTTTACATTTAGTGCCAGTTCTCAAATCAAGGGCGTAGGACGGAAGAGAAGAACTGGCAATAAACTCTCCGACACTCTTTTTAATCGCCATGATTTTTAACACAACGTTTGTAAGGAGCTGCAACCATTACACCATGTTCCACATGACATCCTTAGTAATAATAAAATAAAAATAAAAACAAAGATTTGTCCTCTATCAGCAGGAGGCATGGTGAAATAGGAGCACGCACTTACATTCTCGTGAGCAAACACATAGTCGAGTCAAACGTCACCACAAGTAGCACCCGTTCACGAGTATGACGCATGGCCAGCCATCGGCCCCCTCGCCATATTTTAGGGAGAGAGACAACCCACCGCATGGACGCCGCCACAAGCAATGACATGTAAGCGAGCATGACGATCCTTGAAATGTGGACTTGGCTACATAAGAAAATAATAATAATACTGAAAATAATTTAATACCACATGGATCACGGTTTGTTCCCACTTTACATTAAAACAGTCGTGGATGTTGACGATCGCCCCAGAGTCTGGAAATGCAGCCGAGAGATTCAGTCGCGTAACGCGTTACCTATTTATACTGGAGCAATTCATATCAAAGCACTAGAATCGTTTTAATATTCAGTTATATTATAATAGGCCTTAGCAAGCAGTTTTACTTTAATATGAGATTTAAATTTATTTATTGACAACACCTGTATCTCACTAGCCTTGGAAAGAATTACTCGTTTTATGCAGCCATCTGGTTGGTGCGCTAATTTTGTCTTTATTACGAGTACTATAATTATGGAAGCTACTATTCTTTTTAAAGATATCTATATTTTTCCGCACATACAAAATATTCTCATAAATGTACTTGCCAGAGTCAAAATATGTAATTCCTTAAACTTCCTTCGAACCGACTCCCGTTCATCTATTAATAATTATTATAATTCAAATGTAAGTTTCATAATGTAATGTAAAATAATCTGGTCTAAAGGAGAGGAACTTGATATCATCAACATTCAAAAATTTATGAACCAAAAATTAAATCACTTCACGGTTATTGCATCTCTAATTATTCTGTTGTGACTAAGAATTTGGTTAAATAGTGCTTAAAATGAGCTACAGAGACAAGGTCAATATGATCCCGCATGTCAAATCTTAGAACAGTGTTGGCCTAATGGCTTCAGGGTGCGGCTCTCATCCCTGAAGTCGTAGGTCGCCCTGTACACCAATGGACTTTCTGTCTATATGCGCATTTATTTGCTCGTACAGTAAAGGAAACCATCGGGAGGAAACCAGCATGTGGTTGATTAAAATTTATATATTAGGTTGGGGAAAAAGTCTTTTCGCATTATAGTATGTATGAACTTGTAATAAAATCTCTTTGGCTACTATATACTACAAAACCAGCCAAATACTATATGTCTGGCTGGTTTTGTTTTCATTGAAAGTTGAGATTTTAAAGAAGATAATTCCAAATTCAAATTAGGATAATGTGTGATTTTTATTTATTTTTCGTACCGTCAAGATGAGTGAATCTAATGAAGAAATTCGATACATTTTAAAATTTTCTAACAAAAAAGGTAAATATGAATCGGTTCGATACGAGACGATATTATTTTTTAGATTTTTTTGAAATTCGACTTTTTTAAATTTAATAATCTTACCGTTGTTCTTGGCAACTAGCAAAGCAGCTTCCAATTTTTGTTTAGATCTACCGGCGATTGCCCAACGGATATCCGGGTAATTCCGGCATATTCGTATCATCTCAGGAATCACAAATCGGCCAGTATAGCCGCTTGCTCCAAAAATTATTAGATCAAATTTATCCGCCATTTGTATGGGTTTAGTTTTCAATGACTATTAAATATAAATCACGTTCCACCGTTCGCAACACAACGTTAACTCGATGTTAAGATCTGTGTACTGAAGAACCAACCACAATAATAGGGTAATTACTTAATATTTAATGGAACTGCAACATTAAAAATCATACGTTTTCCATTTGAAGCTCTTAACTACGATGATAAAAATTACAAAAACGGAGATTCTATTGCAGCTCTAAATATACAAAAGTGGTTAATTTTTTGTTGTTTTTCTAAAATCTAAGGTTTTTATTTCCTGTTTACGATAATTACTGGTTGCCAGAGATGTTTTAACAAGATGCACGGGCGTTCGTAAATAAGAGTATAAGAGGTATAGTTCTAATATTTTTTAAATTTGTGTTTATGAAGCATATCCTTGAATATAATGAATATTTTTTCGCGTAAGAAAACAACTAAGTATTATTGAAAATGTCGTATATGGAATCTTTCAAGCAACGTTGCCTTACTTGTTTTATGTTTTTTTATTATATTATATTTACGGGCAAGAGGCTCACCTGATGTAAAGTGATACCGCCACATGGACACTCACATTGCCAGAAGGCAATGTGCGTTGCCGTTGTTTATTCAATGTTCGTGCAAAACGTTTCCGTTTTTATTATTAACACTTAGTTACGTTCTTTTTATATTTCTATTGGCAACCTAGGGAATGTGCGGTACATAAAATCAACTTAAAATGGAGCAATGTAACTTTCAATTAACTCCCTTTTTCATTTCCATTAATCATGAAGACTTTAATAATAATAAATAATATAAGGATTTTTTTGCTGCTCACTGAAGAATTTCCGAACCAGTTCGACTTAGGGTCCTTCAAGAAAAGACCGTACCAATTGTTAAAAGGCGAACATGGTAGACATCGAAACAACCGAGTTCTGAAAACTGTCATTTAATAAATAATAGTTAAAAAAAACTAATTCCTAATTTAGCTAAAGAATAAACAAAAATAAATTATATATAAAAAACCTTAGGAATTATTTTCACTATCAAATGTGCTAAAAAAAAAATAATTTAAAAGTGTCAATTTAGGCTGAAAATGGTAATAAACAAAAAGATAAATCGCCAAAATTATTTATAATACACTACAATATTCTTACGTACGTTTGAAGTTTCATTTTACGCTTTAGGTTTTAGTTTACATTAATTACTCAGAGCTTAGAATCAAAAGAAAGGCCGCTGTTTTTTGAGTTTTTTTATGTCTTATATTTCATTATCACATACCTTGATAAAATCAAACTATTTTTTACTTAACAAATCATTTTATTTTTATTTTTCTATATAATTTAAAAAATTAATAAATTTCTTTATAAAAAAAAAAAAATTTACTTTATTAAAACTTTTTATTCCTTATAACTTTATAAAAAACTAAAAAATTAATAAGATTAGAATGCGCGTTTTTTGACTTTTTATGTCCGTTAATTTTTTTTTTTCGGCTCTAAGAGGGTTATTGCAAAGATTTGTCATCGATCTGGGGGACCAAAAAACGGTTAGAAAAAAAAAACATCAAAAAAAAACAATGAAACAATTTAATTCACGTTTTATTTTCAGGATGAGCGCACGTTTTATATTTAAGTGGATTAAACTTAAATCTGTCAGTAAAAAAAAAAAAAAAAACATAAAAACTTAAAGATTTTAAAAAAAAGGCCGAAAAAAAAAGGGGTTCCCTAAAAGGCCTGCAACACCCCGTAAAAAGTCAGGGTTCAAAATGCCAGTTTTTCGTTCCTAAGGCTCGTTAGTCAGAAGGGGGGGGCGTGGGGGGGGTCCCGCCCCGCGGGCCGGGGGGCCGCCGCGGCCCTGAGAATCGAGTCCGAAGGAGTCGGTTACATACATACATACATACAGGTGAAGCTAATATAAAGCGTGTAAAAATAACCTCGTTTCCCTTATTGGAGTCGGATAAAATATGATCTAACAAACTTGAAAGAAAAGGTTTATAATTTTACTTGTAACCTTTCAAAATTCGTCTAAATACATTAAATAAAAAACATAATAAAAAAATATACTTTATTTAAAATAATAAATAACACGTTAATAATTAACAGCAATAACACCGATACCAATAAATTCAAGAGATCTCTTCAATATTCTTATAACATTAAAAAATTAAAAAGACACATTTTGTATTATTACTAAAAGAATTAAATCTTATTCTCAAACTGTATCATTGATAACTTCAAATTTTAGGTTATTTTCATGGAGGTGTTTGATAATGTTGGTATCTTTGAAAGCAATCCCCGTTGTAAGAACACCACCTCTGAAAAAATATAAGAACGTTTTATTAAGTTAGTTTAAGTACTAATGTCTTTTTGTATTTCTATCTGTTAATAAACAAATAGGGCTTTATACATTTCTCACAAAAAATATAAATATGTAACTATATATTCAAAAGTATTTTTTTTAATTATTATATTTAGTTTACAGAATAATATAATAAAATTACATAAGAAACCCGCTGTGGTTTGTATATATTGTTACGAGCTAGGGGATCGGATAGAAAACGCCATAGATTTATTAAAGGGTTTATTTTCAATTAAATCTACGAGGAATTTGTTTACACTAAAAATTGAAAATCACTAAATACACACACAAAATACTGTCACTAATTACTTTAATTACACGCACTTCACACAGTACTTTATCACTTGTCTTCACTATATTCGAACTTTGTCCATTCGGTATTTATCTCTTGATATCGCATTTAAAATTGAACTAATCGGTAGCGTTTCGGCTCGCTTATATTATATCCCTGGGAACGATGTTCGAGAACTCTCTACTCGCTACTGAGTAGCGATCGCACAATTCTAGAACGTGCGTACTCGCTATCTCTTTCGCACATTTCTCCGTCCTTGTCGTACGGCGTTCTAGAGTGCTCGGTCTAGCTTCGAGAAGGTTCCGATCTTCCCTCTCTCTCGCGTATCATACCGTCCTTGTCCCACACCTAGGAAATTCGTTCTAGAATATTCCTTCATTTTGATGAAGATGGGGTATAACCAGGCCTGAAAACGGGTTTCCTGAAAAGTGTACCACACGACTGCACTTGTGCTGAAACGGCCTGAAAAAATATTTCACCTCCTGAAAACTTGGGTAACATTCTGTAAATTACAGCCTGCTGAAAAGTTCTCTAAGTAGTGGAAAAATCTAAAAACATTGCAGTCGACCCGTCTTCGTAACAATATGTAACCATATCAGTCTTGTTTAGGAACGCGACAAATGCATAAAAAAGTTGTTTTTCAACAGTTAAAAAGTAATTTTATGTATAAATAACTGACTGGGTAGTCCATTTATTAGCCACGGTAGCAAATACCTCATCATTCTCTCGTATAGACGTTGTTTGCTCTCGATGTACAGAGCCGAATGAAAACGATAGGTTTTCGCAATTTACGTTATATATGAAAAAATATTAATGGTATTATGAATGAAATACTGACTCTTTAGGCATTTTGTCCTTCTCAGTAAGTATTGTGAGAGCTGAGAACAAGAGAGCTACAACTGTCGCACCATATCCGGGATTCACACCTGAAACCTGTAATACATTTATATTTAGTCTATTCTTATAACGTGAAACTCGAATGTGAAAATAGCATAACTTATGTATCCATACTAGCTCTAAACAAAGATATGACAACATACCGATGTTTTTTACACATAGAGAGGAGGTTTATTAGGAAAAGCGCGCCATTTTTATGACAATACAAAAATGCTGTGCGTATCTCTGACGTCACTAGCGCCTGCGCAATTATGAGCTTTTTCGGCGCTAATTATTGCGTTTTGTTTTTTATGTCAAATCAAAAAAAAATTAAATTCAAATTTGGAATAATAAAATTTCATGTAATCCAATTACTTATTGCCAGTAAAGTCATAAAATGAAAATAGTGAAACGCTTAACATTTATATAAATAGTATTTGAAATTTAAATGATTTGACATACATCTGTGACACGAGAGATCATCATTTAGTTTAACCAATCACAATCAAGCGAAACACGTCAACGTTTCGTATTTTCCACATTCTCGCATTAAGGCTATTTTGTAAAATAATATGAATTTACCTTAACAACCAGTTTCTTATTAGGCGGTGTGGTGATATCAGTCCCTTCGCTCCATCCCTCACCAAACAGCACAAATGAGAAGATAGTACTATTCATCACTTCCTCACTAGGACCCTCGCGGGTGATGGCACCCAACGTAAAAACACGTGGGTGATTCAGGAAGAGATTTCGAAGGCACCTTAATCTATAAAAGTAATAACAAAACTTAATTCTGTCGAGCACAGACTGAAAATGTATAAGGCAGATACTATATAGAAGTATCTTGTGCAAAAGTTTCAAAATGTATATTTATACGGTCATGGTGTGTGTAGGGTTTTTGGTCAGAAATATTAGATATTTTCTTTACATCATTCGTATAAAACACGATGTTGACAGAATATACCCCTTCTCACAAATAGCTGTTCGAGCTTTGTTCTAATTAAAAAGACAAATTATTTATCGACATTTAATAAACGAAAGTTGTCAATAATCATTTATGTATCGAGATTTTATGGTTTTAAGCCCTAATGTGCGTTTGGATTCCGATAAATACACCAAGGGTTTTTTTATCGGTTATCAATTCGACTTCCAAAATAAGGATCTTCATAACATACATTATTTAATTTTATCGTTTCATAAGTTTATTTATCTAAGCTTATCAAAACAACACAAGGATAATCAATAGAAATAAGGAATATTGTTTTTTTTAAAGGACGGACCTACTGAAGGGAAACAACGTATGTCAGGCACAGAATCTGATTAACAAAAATTATATGCACGATTTGGGTACAAGAATTCATACAATAAAGCGACTTGATCTTTAAAGTATTTAATTTACATCGTGTAAAGAATTAAAAATGTAATAATTATTATTATAATGGATTATTGTTTTTATGATAATTGGTTTTATTGATAACTTTAATTAATAATAAGTATTGTAATTGCTGTAAAAAAAATTACCCAACACTTATGTAAGATGTATGTAATAAAACTCTTTATAGCGCAGCGCGGGCGAGTATTTAGACTACAATTATAAATAACTTAACTTATTATTATGACATTATATTAATGTTCTTATTATATGACTTTATGAAAATTAATATGACATTTGCATGCCCTTTTATAATTGATGGATCTAAATGTATTACTTTTTTGCCAATAATAATCGACTTATTTATTTATTATTAATGGAAACAAATCATTAGAATGAAGTTTAAATTAGTAAAAAACTGTTAAATAAAAAATAGGTCTCTGTTTTTTAATCTAGCTTGTTCTTTCCACGGCCCGGGGTGAAATCTCGCTCGGGGGATTCGGAAATTAGGAAATTAAAATAATAATACAAAAGAGTACTTATATCCATAGTTGCTCCCCTCACACTTTGAAATAAATTTTCCTTCACATTTTATAATTAATCACTTTTCTTTAATTTTTTTGTTTGTTATGTTTGACTATTGAGCAGTGTTGGCCTAGTGGCTTCAGCGTGCGACTCTCATACCTGAGGTCGTAGGTTCGATCCCGGGCTGTGCACCAATGGACTTTCTTTCTATGTGCGCATTTAAGGTTTGGTCAGACAGCGGACGGGGCGGGACGGCGACGCGACGCTGGCGCGACGTGAGCAGATGTAATGTATTAATTAATATAGAACATGTCACACAAAGCCGTCGCGCCCGACGGTAGTACAAGAAAAGTACAGCGGGACGGGACGCGAACGGGGCGTGAGCGCGTCACTACACGTTGTGTTATATGGATATTCGTTGTAGTAGTCAAACCGATAGCGGCGTGACGGCAGCTTTGTATTCATTCAACTACAAAAATGGACATGGAGAGAGTTGAAAAACTAATCGAAAGTGTTCAAGCACAGTTTTTGTATGATTTGGGCCATTCCCAATACAAAATTGCGAGCTTGAAATCAGCGATTTGGGAATTTATAGTAAGAAATCTCAAAGAGCTTGTTTCAAAATGCTCGAGAAATCACGCCGAGTGCGGTGGGTCGGCCGACGCGTCGCTTGCAGGATCATCACGTCCGCAGTGTGACATCCACGCCGCGTCGCCGTACCGCCAGTGCGCAGCGTTGCGTCACCGTCCCGCCCCGTCCGCTGTCTGACCAAACATTTGCTCGAACGGTGAAGGAAAACATCGTGAGGAAACCGACATGTCTTAAACCCAAAAAGTCGACGGCGTGTGTCAGGCATTGGACGCTCATCACTGCCTATTAGATTTAAAAATGATCATGAAAAAGATTCAGAAATCTGAGGCCAAGACCTAAAAGAGGTTGTAGCGCCACTGATTTTTTTTTTTGTTTGACTATTAGTGCTTGTCACGTTAAATCTTGTATTTTATTTTTCTTGTAACAATGTATCAGTTTGTGTTGGCAAGCTTTTGTAAATAAATATATTGTAAAAGTTATTGTACTTGAGGAGTACGTAGCCGATCAACGCAAAGAAGGCGACTGCCATCGCGGACCAAATGCCAGCGAACTCGATATAAGTCTTATTTTGAATCGGTCGCTTTCCATCTCTCTCGTACAAGGTTCTTTGTGTGCGGTATACGATAGGTGCGTCTGCGCCAAAGAGAGGTAAACTTCTTCCAGTCAACCGACGATGGAATGGGTACCTGTAAGAATTGCATTTATTAATTCCGCTGCAACAAGAGTGAAGAAGAGTAGTCTGTCATGTCATGTCTTATGTCTATAGCGGTGTGGGAGTTCCTTTTGATATTGATATTAGTAATAACTAATTCTGATGGTATGGCGATTAAATCATGTTAATATTTTATTTCCAATTATTTGATATGTACCTTTTCTATAAATTGTATTAATTAAAAAAAAAATAAAAATGAATATTATTATTGCTCAGAAATATTTTTAGTTGTGTTACTCAACTAAATTTAAGAACACTTCTATAATTATAACTTGTATATATAGAAACGTATATATATATACGTATATACAGTGAAACTTGGTTAAGTGGGACCTGGATAAGTGAGAAACCTCCATAACTGGAACTTATGCTGAGGTCCCAACACTTTGGCACTGAATTACCTCTGTTAGTGGGACGAGGTAAGCCTCCATATCTGGGATTTGTTCTTTCGATTTATCATCATAGTTACCTCTATAACTGAGACAGCGAGTAAATTTTATATGCATAAACCTCTGTAACTGAGATAACATTTGTTTGTTTACTCATTCTTATTCTACCCACAAATTCCACACGTAATTCCAAGTACGTAAGTAATTTTGAGCTTCAGTTACCTTCAGTTTTAGTTTCGCTTTACTATCATACAGATGTTTATTTAAAAAATGCCAAAACGAAAGCTACAATCGTTATCATTACGTGAAAAACTGAAGTTAATATCCGTTTATGAAAGTGGGAAGACACGCGAAGAAGTTTGTGCCGAATTTAATGTGCCAAAATCTACTCTTTGTAGAATAATTCAGAGTAAACATAAAATTGAATCACAATGTTCTGAAACTGATAACTGAAATAACCTGTATTCTCACCTCTATTAATGGAACCCTCTGTAAATGAGACAGATATTTATTTATACCTGTATATCTGAGACACTGGGTAAGTGGAATACCTCTATAAGTGAAACGACATTGCAGGTCCCTTGATGTCTCACTTAACCAGGTTTCACTGTATATAATATACAGTGAAACCTGGTTAAGTTAAGTCGTAATATGTACGAATATGGAAACAGAATGTATCAATTATAAAAATCTGTCATTTTAGTTTGTCGTTTGGAAGTATCAGCCATCAGATGTTTTTCGATGTTATAAATTTTATCATTTTGGCATTTTTCAAATAAACATCTGTTTGATAGTAAAGCGAAACTAAAACTGAAGGTAACTGAAGCTCAAAATTACTTACGTACTTGGAATTACGTGTGGAATTTGTGGGTAGAATAAGAATGAGTAAACAATGTTATCTCAGTTACAGAGGTTTATGCATATAAAATTTACTCGCTGTCTCAGTTATAGAGGTATGATGATAAATCGAAAGAACAAATCCCAGATATAGAGGCTTACCTCGTCCCACTAACAGAGGTAATTCAGTGCCAAAGTGTTGGGACCTCAGCATGAGTTCCAGTTATGGAGGTTTCTCACTTATCCAGGTCCCACTTAACCAAGTTTCACTGTATATATATATATATTTACATATCTTGTATTTGTGATGTGTCATGTTTCCTTATTGATAAATAAATAAACGAATTACATTGTTGCATTTGATACCGACACTAGTGAAATTCCTGTGAGACGACCAGACTCTTTCGAGGTAGAAACAAAGAAAGAAAAGAAGTATTTATAAGTATACAGTAAAATAAAACGAATCAATAAAAAGGTTAAACAAAATTTGGCCAACATTAGCTAGCCATTATGCGTGAGTTTATGTATATGCATGGGTGTGCGTGAATTGGCTGTATAAAAATGGCTCCCATTTCCGTAAACTGTATTAACTCACCACCTTCTTTACCGCTGTAATCATAGAGATGAAGGTAATAAACTTGGGACACGATCTCGTTATATTAGATTAATAGCCGTACACACACTAGTCCATTAAGAGTGTACGGTTACTTAGCTAATTAGTAAGGATTTAAATATCAGCTAAAATAGAAACGGAAGCTATAAAAGTCTTTCAATGCCCCATGATTTTAAAGTGCTTCACTAATTTAGAGTAAATTTAGTAATTTAGAGGATTTGACCGTAGATATGGTTAATAGATAATTAAATAGAGAACTCTTAATTTTAGAAGCGAAGAGAGAATTCAAAGTGAACATAAACGGCAAAGTAATTAGTTCCGACCTCGAAGTAGCCTCTGCATTTGAAGAGTTTTTTACTAACATTCCTTTAAATACAACCAGCGTTCTAAATTCTTCACCATCAGCCGCCCTTTTATTATTGAAAAAGAATGTTCCTGTATGCAATCATAAGTTTATATTTAGCCGCATTAGCTGCAATGACATTATAAAAACATTTAAACAGCTAAAAATAAAAAAAACTAAAGATCTTTGGGGTGTATCTGTTTTCATTTTACAATCAGTAATCAATACTACCTATCAGTTCAGAGTTGGCTATAATATTTAATGAATGTATAGATTGTGGAGTCTTTCCAGACCAGATGAAGATAAGTAAAATCACACCGTTATTCAAAACGGGCAGCACTTCGGACCCCACAAATTTTAGACCCATATCTGTGCTGCCGGCTTTGAGTAAAATCTTTGAAAAAATCATTCTTGAACAATTATTGATACATTTTAATAATAATAAACTTATGCATAGCCAGCAGTATGGTTTTACAAGAGGTCGCTCCACAGCAGATGCTGGCATTCAATTAATTTCCGAGATTTTAAATGCTTGGGAAAATTCTCATGATGCCATTGGAGTTTTTTGCGACTTATCAAAGGCTTTTGACTGTGTCCATCACGAAATCCTAATCAAAAAACTTCAACACTATGGCATTGGCGAAAAAGCGCTAAATCTTATGGAATCATACCTGAGCGATAGAATTCAAAAGGTAAATGTAAATGGAGCTATATCACAGGGATCCTCTATTACTATGGGAGTACCGCAAGGCTCCATACTTGGTCCCTTCTTATTCCTCGTCTATATAAATGACCTACCATTTCTTGTAAAGGAGCTTCACGAGATAGTACTGTTTGCTGATGACACTTCGCTTTTATTTAAAGTGAAACGACAAAATCCATCACTTGATAACGTAAACAGTGCCATCTCCAGTGTAGTTCACTGGTTTAATACAAATAATCTTAAGCTAAACGAAAAGAAGACAAAATGTGTTAAATTTGTAACTACAAATGTAAAAAGTAGTCATTCTCAAATAATAATTAAAGACGAGGAAATAGACTTTGTTGATAATGCGGTGTTCTTGGGAATTACTTTAGATAGTAAACTCCAGTGGGGCCGACACATAGAAGGTCTTTCGAATAGGCTAAGTTCCACAGCGTTCGCAGTAAAAAAGATACGCGATCTTACGGATGAGAACACAGCAAAGCTTGTTTATTTCAGCTATTTTCATAGTATTATGTCATATGGTGTTATTTTGTGGGGTAATGCAGCTGACATTAAATCGATATTTGTAGTGCAAAAGCGGGCTATAAGAGCGATCTGTGGATTGTCCCCACGGGAGTCGGTCCGAAAGAAGTTTAAGGAATTACATATTTTGACTCTGGCAAGTCAATACATTTATGAGAATATTTTGTATGTGCGGAAAAGTATAGATATTTTTAAAAAGAATAGTAGCTTCCATAATTATAGTACTCGTAATAAAGACAAAATTAGCGCACCAACCAGAAGGCTGCATAAAACGAGTAATTCTTTCCAAGGCAATTGTATTCGTTTTTTCAATAAAATCCCTAGTGAGATACAAGAGTTGTCAATAAATAAATTTAAGTCGTACATTAAAGTAAAACTGCTTGCTAAGGCCTATTATAATATAAATGAATATTTAAACGATCATAGTGCTTGGATATAAGTTGCTCCAGTATAAATAGGTAACGCGACTGAATCTCTCGGCTGCATTTCCAGACTCCGGGGCGATCGTCAACATCCACGACTGTATTAATGTAAAATTGGGAACAAACCGTGATCCATGTGGTATCAAATTATTTCAGTATTATTATTATTTTCTTATGTAGCCAAGTCCACATTTCAAGGATCGTCATGCTCGCTTAAATGTCATTGCTTGTGGCGGCGTCCATGCGTCGGGTTGTCTCTCTCCCTAAAATATGGCGAGGGGGCCGATGGCTGGCCATGCGTCATACTCCTGAACGGGTGCTACTTGTGATGGTGACTGGTCGTACTTGAATTCGTGTATGCGGTGATGTTTATTATTTCGACTATATGTTTGCGTGTTGTTCCCACGAGAATGTAAGTGCGTGCTCCTATTTCACCATGCCTCCTGCTGATAGAGGACAAGTCTTTGTTTTTAATTTATGTTATTATTATTAATTACTTAAGATGTCATGTGCAACATGGTGTAATGGTTGCAGCTCCTTACAAACGTTGTGTAAAAAAAAACATGGCGATTAAAAAGAGTGGCGGAGAGTTTATTGCCAGTTCTTCTCTTCCGTTCTACGCCCTTGATTTGTGAACTGGCAGTAAATGTAAAATTAGAAGCATTAATATGTATTTCTTTAATGACGAATCACAAGTGTACATTGTGTTACCTACGTGAATAAATGATTTTTGAATTTTGAATTTGAATTTGAAAGAGATTTTGAGGAATTTCACAGAACACTTATTATACTTTTAATCTTTGATGTTAGTTAACTATATAAAAATGTCATCATCGGCTATATAGCTCTTTTGAGCAGTTAGTAAGTACATATGAAATACCTGGCTTTAAGTTCTGGATTAAATTCTGGCATCTGTTCGGGATATATCTTCTTCATCAAATCGGGTAATTTATTAAAGTCTAGTATACTGAAAGACAATGAAAATTAATAAGTGTGTGCTCTCATAGTCTATTATCTAAGGATTTAAGAAATTTTTGTTTTGGAACGACCATACAGAGACAACATAACAATATTTTACACTTAAGCCACCGTCCATAATAATAAAACGTTTTTGAATAATTAAAGGACAAAAAAATTAAATAAGGTTTTCGACCTGTAATAAATTTTATTCGTATCAATCACGATAAATACAAGCTATAACCAATATGCTTGGAGTTAGTTTAAAGAGAATAAGTATAATAGCAAGAAAATTTGTATTTATTTTTTAGATATTTACAGCTTTGGTTTTCATGAGAATTTAAATATTTCAGGATGTAAGAATATACTAATATATATTATAAGGTTTTGACGAAGTTTAAAACGGTTTTCGCTTGACTTTTAAATTGTAAGGAATGCGTATCGCGACGTCTACTATGGAACTAGAATCAATACAATAGCGTCTAACTCGCGCTATCGAAGTATTTAATTTAGTTTTTAACCATAGCGGGCCGGTCAAGTTAGTGGTTTGTATGATGGATCCTCTCCGTACGTTGGAGGGAGAGATCAACATCCTTCCACCACATCCGCGTAACCACCACGTGTGTTGTAAGATTCATACAAGTACGATTACGTAGATATTTAATTCTGTCAAACTCATTAGAAATTCAAAAGGAATAAACCATTGGTCAATAGCGTGAACATGAAGAACTGATCACTATTCGTGGCACACGGTCTTGTATGCATACATAATAAATGAGGTTCAATGTATTTGTAATGTTTTACATAGTAGTACATAAATAAACGAACCCATATATGAGAGACTCCCAGGTGCCATAGTTGACCATTGCCCCTCCTACTAAGTGTTTTGACACATCAGCCGTAATGTATGATTCAACTGAATTCACTATTCCTGAAAATATATTTAAAAAAATTGAATAAGAACAACAAATTGTCTGATGATTGATGTGATGTTGAGTGCAAAAAAGGAGTCAAAAGCTACTATTTATTGTGGAGTGGAACGTTAATTAATATATCTCACAGTGAAAGTGCATACGTGACTAATAACATTTATAATTATTAGTCATCACATTAAAAGTCACTACCAAACCAAAATATATATAGAAGAAATTCAACCACTTCGTCAAACCAGTAGCTGGCCGCCTCAGTACGACGACGACGCTTTATCAACGGATCCAAGATCAAATCTAGTTACTTCTTCTTGTTTAAGTTGTAGTGTACTTTCTTTTTTAAATTTTTATTGTGTTTTATATTCTATTCGATGATAGTTGATGATAGTTCCGGCTCCGACTGTCTAGACGTAAATACATAGTGTAACGAAGCTCCGTATTTCTACGAATAAACTGTGAATATACTGTGAGCTCCGGTGTAAAAACATTTAAATTTCATACATATTGTGATAAACTATACTGCAACTAAAACATCCAAGTGCAAACTGTGTTATCAAGATAATTGTTCAGTGGTTAAAAAGTGGAAAAAACTTTTGAGGCTACCTGCCAAACAAACCGAGTATAGACTATAGACACAATTTCAACAAAACTAAGGCGGGTCAGTACTACCAACATAATAGTCCTATTAAGCTGCGTTCACAATAATACGTTTCATTTCACGTAAGCGACAGCGGCAAAATGGATAACCTTCAATCTTTTTTTGAACAAATGAAAATAGAAATGTCAAAACAAACCGATGACATTATGGCACGGATTGATGAAAAACTAGTTCCTTTTAGACTTGAAATGCAGGAATTAAAATCAGAAAATGAGAAATTAAAGGAAAAAATAAACAATCTTGAAAAATTTAGAAGATACAACAACCTAATTTTATATGGAGTAAAAGAAACCGAAACATCGACTATCGACCTAATCGAAATAATCAAAAAGAAATTTGAACATGATTTAAACATTACTTTTGAAGATAGGGATGTGAACACGATCTATAGAATTGGCAAAAATAACACAAAAAACGGAAAAGAAAGGCCTATCCTCCTAACATTCGTGAACGCCTGGAAGAAAAACGAGATAGTGGTAAATAAAAAGAAATTGAAAAACTTGTATTTATCTGAAGACTACCCGAAAGAAATATTGGACATGAGAAGGAAACTACAACCAAAATTGGAAGAGGAAAGGAAGAAGGGCAATTATGCATACATAAACTACGACAAGCTAATTATTAAACAGGGCAAACCAGGTAACGAAAAACGCAAAAGGAAACATCAACCTCGCCTAACGCAATAGAGCACCCTCACAAACAACAACTGTCAACAAAAGCAGCTCGGTTAAATGCATTCGACATAATGAGGAATAGAAGTAATTCCTTACCTTCTGCCAATGTGCCAACCGTTCAGAATCTATAGGATATTGCCATCAGCCACCGGAACAAAACATTAAACAGACGAGAACTAATAGATAAAAGAAACAAAACATTCCCCAATCCGACTTGTCATCGTGGGGAATCAGACTACAACCCTCCACCAAATAGAGAAATAGATCATGGTATGAAACGAACACTCAAAATCTGCAATTATAATGTAAAATCGCTAGGATCAATAGAACGATTCCTTGAATTGACTAATGCTCTAAAAAATATTAACTGGGACATTATAGGCCTTGCAGAAGTCCGAAAAATGGGATGTAAGATAGAAGAGCACAGCGACCTTATATTTTGCTATATTGGCGAAACTAAAGGACTATATGGAGTGGGATTCCTTATCAAGAAAATGTATAAAAATAACATCATCAACTTTATAGGAATCTCTGAAAGAGTAGCACTTCTACAAATGAAGTTTGATTGCTTCTCTTTTTCAATAATCCAAGCATATGCACCGACAGAGAGATCAACAGAAGAAGAAATTGAAAATTTTTACAAAGACATTGAATTTGCTCACACAAAGACAGAAGGAAGGTCATTGTCATGGGAGATTTCAACGCGAAAATAGGATGTCCAAAAACAAACTACTATCCAGTAATGGGAAAATATGGTTACGGAGTGCGGAATGATAGAGGGGAACGGCTCTTAATTTATGCTCATCAATACAAACTATCCATAATGAACTCATTTTTCAAAAAGAAAGCAAGCTCTAGATGGACATGGTTATCACCCGACCACAAAACTAAAAATGAAATAGATTTTATTATGATAACCCACAACAAACTTATAACTAATATTGAGGTACTTAACAAAGTTGAATTCTCTTCCGATCATAGATTAGTGAGAGCAACATTACTTTTGAGTAGTCCAGTAAAGAGCAGAAAAACCTATACAACACCAGCTAATATCCCCAAGACAGAAACAGAAATAAAGTGCTACATCGGAAATCTACAAAAACATACAGAAAATATAAAAACAGACAGCATTGATATTCAAACATACTACAATATCCTGGAAAAAGGCATAACAGAGAGCTTAAAATACAAAACCAATATGTATCCCCACCAACACAATATCTTCTCAAAAGACACAATGGAACTTTTAAAAAGGCGCACGGAACTACTACACACAAAGAACAAAACTAAAGATATGAAAACAGAACTAAGCAGAATATACAAAGAGACTAATAGATCAATCCGTAAGGACTACAACAACCACAGATACGAGATTATTACAAGGAACATTAAACATTTTAGAAGTGCCAAAAAAGCATACAAAGAATTAACTACACACAAGTCCTGGATTCGAAAACTTGAAAATAACTCACTAAAAACAAAATCCAGAAAAGATGTAATAAATCACGCTACTAACTTCTACAAAAACTTATATAGTAAACAAAATAACCCCGAAATCATATCGCAAACAACCCATACGAACACGACAGATCACATCAGACAAATTGAATACTCCGAAGTTTATGATCATATGAAAAAGCTGAAAGCCGAGAAGAGTCCCGGACCAGACGGAATATGCAATGAGGCACTTAAAATAGGAGCACCCATTTTAACATATCATTTTACGCGATTGTTCAATAAGATACTAGATGAAGAAAAGGTACCAAAACAGTGGTGTACATCGGATATAATCCTTCTCTTCAAGAAAGGAAATCCCTTAGATATAGGGAATTACAGGCCCATAAGTCTGCTGGCAAGTATTTATAAACTATTTTCATCCATAATCTTAAAGAGAATATCTGACGATATTGATAAGCAGCAACCAAAAGAACAGGCAGGATTCAGATCAAGCTTCAGCACAATGGACCACATACAGACATTAGAGCAAGTCATAGAAAAATACAGAGAACACAATAGACCTCTGTATGTGGCGTTCATTGACTATAGCAAAGCTTTTGATAGCATTAGTCACTGTGCAATCTGGAACGCTTTACAATATTCAAATATCAACCAGAAATACATCAATGTTTTGAAATATATCTATACAAAAAGCACGAGCAGAGTTAAATTAGAAACTAGAGGCGACGAAATAAACATAGAACGCGGAGTTAGACAAGGTGATCCTCTTTCCCCGAAGCTGTTTATAGCAGTCCTTGAAACTATCTTCCAAAAACTAGACTGGAAGAACAGCGGAGTGTACATAAACGGACAATACTTAAACAATCTGAGGTTCGCAGATGATATTGCTGTTATTGCTGAGACTGCAAAAGACTTAGACGAAATGATGAGATCACTGGACTGCGAAAGTTCCAAAATCGGCCTTGAAATGAATGTAAATAAAACGAAGATACTAACGAACAATCAGGGAGCGCCAGATAGTGATAAAAGGTAATAATATAGAATACGTCAGGCAATACATATACTTGGGCAAACAAATTTCCTTCAAAACTTCAAATAACGAAGAAGAAGTGACAAGGAGAATCAACACAACTTGGAAGAAATTCTGGGCACTAAAAGAAATCTTAAAAGGCAATTACAGCTCACACATGAAAAGGACAATATTTGATACATGCCTGTTACCTTGCTTGCTGTATGGCTGCCAAACTTGGACCTTTACAAATAAAATAAAACAAAAAATTAAAAGTAACCAAACAGCAATGGAAAGGAGTATGCTGAAAATTAGGAAAATACACAAAATTAGGAGCGAAGAAATTCGTCAAAAAACCAAATTAACTGATGCTCTCAGGCACGCACTCTTACTCAAATGGAGATGGGCTGGACACATCTCACGATACCGAGACAGAAGATGGACCATTGAAACCACACGATGGAAAGGACCCATGGGGAAGAGAAATGTTGGTCGACAATTAAGACGGTGGGCTGATGATATAACACACGTCGCAGGAAACGACTGGATACAAATAGGCAGAGACAGGGAGTCATGGAAAAGGATGGAGGAGGCCTTTACCCAACAGGGATCCAAACCTTGTACATAAATAATAATACTAACGGTAATTGTAAGTAACCATTTTTTTAAATTTAAGCAATTAAGTAGTACTAACAACATTGTAAAACATAAGCAAGTTTTGGAATAAATGGCTTTATTATTATTATTATTATTATTAACAAATTGTCTTTTTCGTTGCTTTATGTATGTTTCAACGTAAGTAAATTATAAAAAAAACGAATACTAACACGACTCTCGATAATTTGAATTTTTTCCAATCATTTGAAAAATACTCGATAAATTGAATTAAAATTAAGTATTTCTCGAAAGTCTTTCGGTTTGACCAATCACAATCGTTCGAACTAACTCCAACATCGTTTACAATCATCACCTTCCAAGTACTTACCTCCAAAGTTATTTTCTAGAAAGACAACTCCCAGGTCAGTAGGAATGCTGTCAAAGCCACACGCGCTGATCACGTATACTCCAGCTTCACGCGCAGCTTGGTTGTATTTAAGGTACATAGATTCTATGAACTGAAAGTTTAAATTACTTCGTTAATTATATTTAATTGGTCCCAAAGTTCTGTCACTAGCACATTATTTCTACATTTCGAGCAGGATTTTATAAAAAAATTATTGCATTCTATTTTGGAATGTTTGATTATTGTTTTAAAACAAAAAACAATAACTTTCCGTAATTTTTCACGATGGAGTGGACATTGAAAGTAAACCGAATAGTTGTTATTGCGTTGCACCGCTGTGGACACTCGCCGAGTACCATTTTCAAGTTGCTCAAAAATTTGAATATAACGCTTAGGTTTATGTACGGTACTATTGATAGGTACCTTGAAGTCTCCAGTGTTGAGGACAAGAAAAAAAACTGGCTGGCCACGCTCCGCAAGAACACCAGCAGTAATCAAAGCTATCAAGGCGCGGATAGTAAGAAATCCTGTCCGAAATCAGAAGTTGATGGATTTGCAGATGGGTGTCAGTAGGAAAACAGTAAAAAAGGTTTTAAATGAAGATCTTGGTCTACGAGCATACAAAAAAGAGTGGGCACTTACTTAATGCTCGTCTAAAAGCAATAAGGCTTAAGAGATCGCGGGTGTTGTTTAAGCGGTACGCGAAAAACCGACACCGTGATATCCTCTTTACGGACGAAAAATTTTTCGATATTGAAGAGAAGTACAATAAACAGAATTATACAGTGTACGCTAGGAGTTCTGAAGAAGCTGAAAATAAAGATCCAAGGGTGCAACATGGACATCATCCATCATCAGTAATGGTTTGGTTGGGAGTGTCCTATTACGGGCTAACTGAGGTTAATTTTTTTCGAAAAGGGGGTCAAAACCAGTGCTACAGTGTACCAAGAGACGGTTTTGTATCGCCTTGTCAAAGACATGTCCAGCACCCTATTTGCGGGACATCACTTCGTGTTCCAGCAGGACTCTGCGTCTGCATACAAAGCCAAGACCACTAAAGCCTGGTTTGAGCGTCAAAACATCGTCTTAATTAGACATGAGGATTGGCCTTCCTCCAGTCCGGACCTTAATCCTTTGGACCAGAAATTATGACAGGGCTTAGAGAGGAAGGTCTGTGATAAACCTCATGAAAATTTGGAGAATCTGAAGTCATCTTTAAAAAAACCAGTGACTGAAATCGACACGAATATGGTGCGTGCTGCGATGGACGACTGGCCGCGACGCTTAAGGGCCTGTATTAAAAATGAGGGAGGTTATTTCGAATATTTTTATGCTTTTTTTATTCCTTAATTAATGTACTAAGAATTGATATATCACTCATTACAAACTGATCAGTACTTTTGTTTTTATCATTATTTCCATTTATGACAGAACTTTGGGACCGACTACGTATTTAATTGAATAAACTTTATAACAGATTTAAACTAAATGTAAACTAAATGACCATGAACTAAAGATACAAGATTTTACTATTTAGAGTTTAGACAAATGTAGTGTTTAGTTGTGTTCAGTAAAAAATAGATTACTATTTTAATAGATTACTTATTGCCGATAGATATCAAGTGTAGATAGGGACTAAATATTATATTACGTTAGCTTTACTAGGCTTTTTAATTTTTATTTTATAGGAATCGTCATGAGGAAACGCCTTTGTTTCGTTTCGTTTCATGAGGAAACCCAAAATTGAAAAATTACGTGTGTATTCTACATATTACGTAACCCATTCCAAAAAAAAACAAATACAGATTGGAAGACCAATCAGTATTTGTTTTTTTGCAGCGCTGACTTTGTTTTTATATAGTGTAATAAGAACCCTATATATACGATTTCGCCAGAATATTTTCGTTTGTAATGTAAACATTTCTGGCCGTATGTAACACTAAAATACTTTTAAGCTACTACTAAAGCTTTTACTATATAATCATAAACAGTTCACATGTATGAGTGACACACAATTTAATATTACTTTCCGTGCATTTGTATGGGACTTTTACGCATAGTCAAACAAGGGCATCCGTAAGTTTGGATGCAATTATTAAAATTCTTTAATTTTAGCTATTCTCTGTGCTATGTGTTATCAACGGATCTCAGGTTAACATATACTAATATCGCATTTAGTTTACTAACTCGAAAAGACAAAACCTTGTTTAAATTAAAGCGATACAAAACAGATTGTCAGATTTTGTTAAATTTTAATTTTTTGTAATGGACCATATACCGTAAAACCATCAAGGATTATAAAACAAGTTTTAAGAATACAATGGACGAAAACAAAACATGACGTCATCTCAAATAAAATTAATTGCAGCTTACTCTAGAAATTTGCACTTCATGTTTCTGTTTCTTGTACTTTGTTTCATGTTCCTCACAACAACGCCAACTATGCTCAAAACTCAGTTTTGTATCGCGCAGCCCGGACATACAACGACCACTATTGACTTGTTTAAGCTTTCGCGGAATATGCGAAAATAATCTTATGTTTGTAAGAATAGGTTAAGATGTTGTTTTATAAACAATAAATTAGGTTTGAATATTGATCTGTCTTATTCATTTCTTAAATGTTTAAACCTTTTTGTACAAATTCTGTATTCCATCTTTGCCCAAATCTTTAATATAATTGTTTTGATAAAAAGAATTATTAACAAGAAAGAAACATATTGCTGTTTATTGGTATTCTATTACTAAGAGAATGAAATGTTTAAAAAGATAATTTATTTATGTATTAGATACGTATTGATGTATGAGAAAGTACTTGCAGTCCGTTAAAAATGTCATTCAACTTGTCTTACTATGGGTTCAGCAGCAATATCCACGTAATGTGTCTTGGATTCGATGGCAGCTTTGACCACAGCCTCCCCATAATGCCGGTATGGCCCGCAACAGTTCACTAACACCTTGGCCTGGCTGCACATGTTCTTAAGGGATTTCTCATCGTTCACATCAGCAATTATTACTGAGGCTGACACATCGCTACCTGCAAACAGATATAGGATAATACCTACCATTAATTTAACTGAAGCTACGCTAGAGATCTATTTTGATTTAAACGGTGATTTATAAAAAATCATAACGTTTCGAATGCTATGCTGCTGACATGCTAAGAGCGTTTAAATCCATTAAAGATAAGTTAATTATACAAATAATGTATACGAGATACTTGCCAAACCAAATAAACCAAAGACAATGGCGTGTTATGGATTTTTAGTGTCGGCAATGTTGCTAGTTTTCTATTGGCATATTTGATATATGGTTTAATAAACTTTGTTATTTCCTTTCCCTGATATACTCGTATATATTGCCTTTGAGTTAATAAAAAACCAGGGGCGCTGCAACATTTTAGATCTGGATCTCAGATTTCTTCAATTGTTATTCTAACACTAAGGCAAGTAGGTGATAAAGTTTCTGTGCCCGACCTACGCCGTCGACTTTGTGGGTCTAAGGTGCTCACGATGTTTTCCTTCACCGTTCGTGCGAGAGTTAAAATGCGCACAAAGACAGAAAGTCCTTTAGTAGGTACACGGCTGGGTTCGAACCTACGACCACGGGGATGGCACATTGAAGCCACTAGGCCAACAATACTCAATTTGATTTCGTAAGATCGAAAAGTTATGCTTGTCAAAGTCAAATAACCGGTTTATATATTAAGTTTATGAAATATCAGGTTAAATTGTTAATTACGAAACCACAATTTTTTTTTGTTTAACTAGCGATTAAAGTTTGTAATACATGCAAATATAATTCATGGTTATGTAGTCTTAGTGACCTTGTGAAAGTGGTTTGCGTAAGTCGTCGTAATAAAATTCGTTCATAAAATGTTGCATTTATTTACCGGTTTTCTGTGCGGCTTCCTTGATTACCTCCTCTAATTTGGCTTGAGAGCGTCCAGCGATACCCCAAGAAAGCGGGTAACGCTTCAACTGTCTATTCATCTCCATAACGACATGTTTACCCGTGAACCCCGTCGCACCGAATATCACCAGGTCCAGGCGAGACATCTACAACGCAAATAAAAATGGTCTAAACAGTAGGAATTCTAAAACCATGAGAGACGCAGTATAACTTGGCGAGTACCGTCATAATTAAAATGTTGCAGGGTGAAACTTTTCTTTAGCGGTCAAATGAAATCCAACAATTAAATCTTTATATATTTCATTGGTTTATTGATTGTTATTTATAATAACTGGAGTAGAAAATAATATACTTGCACAAACAATTATAATATTGAAAATTAATAGTGTTAATTTTAATTTAATTTAATATACAACGTGAGTTAACGTTATGGCTAATTCCATCACTTTCGTGTATTATTACTTTTATGTACTCACATTTCCCGAATTTAGTATCCAAGACACACACAACTTCCAACGAATTAATAACACAAATGCGCGCGCGCGCCGTAAAGGCTATCTTACACCGGGGCAACACTGTGCGGCATTGCGGAATGCTACAAGGCCGCATGGTACAAAGTTAAAAATGGGCGTGTTTGGCCGAAGTAAGTACTTACTAAATTTAGTAAGTCACTTACTATGCTTACAAAATTTTCGGCCGGGACACAAAATAAGTGCTAACGCAGTAAGTATGGCTTAATATACGACGCCATTTTGCTTATTGTTGATGTAAACAAAACGGACAATAAAATATCCAATAAAATATTTCTCATAAAATTATCCATTTGAAACTATTCACAGGTATTAAATTATATTCCTAAATTTAGTACTGTCAATTATATTCAGTCTATGAGGTTATGTACGGGATATGACATAAACCGGTGTTTTGTGTTATGTTAATAAGCCAGTAAGTCTGTCCTGGCCGAAAAGCGCTACAGTCAGCTTGTAAGACTTTAATTTTTTTATGCTTACTGGCTTACTAAGTTTAGTAAGTACTTACTTCGGCCAAACACGCCCAATGTCACAAGAACCGTGCGGCACGGCAACACCTTGCGTCATGTGGCAGACTTTCGCAGCTTGTGTGCAGCTGTGGCACAATGGATTCTATGCGACTTTCGTGCGTCAAAACAGTTTGTAGGTTATGTTTTTATTTATATTTGTTTTGAAAAGTGAGAATTATCAGTTGTGGAGTGGTGTAACAAAAAAATTTAGACCAAAAAAAATAAAAATTAATTAAATAAAAAAAGAAAAATAAGCCTTAGTTGACATTTTTGTTACTAGTCCGTGGGACATTCTGAAGTAATCTTCTTTTCCACCAACGTCTCTTCTTCAGTTGTTTAGCATGGCTTAGTAGTATTAATAAGCTGCTGCTAAAGTTACTTGATCAGCCATATTCTATAGTGTATCCCATCGATCAAATAAGTAGATAGACCAGTAACACTCCATAAACAGCACAATGATTTGGAAACTATCCAGGCACGATGTTGCCTCGGCGTAAAATTTGTAGCATGCCACAAGGTGCCGCATGCCGCAATCTGTAGAATGCGACACTGTCGCACGTTGTTGTGCCTACGCGTAAACCAGCCTTTAATGAGGCATCAGTCAAGGACGTCGTAACGATAGTGTATGTAGAAAGTCGAAATCTACATTTGTATGAAAATTACAGATTACAGATGTCGAGAGTCAGTGCCTAGGTTATTGACAGTGTTCCACTAGTCGGTTTTTTTTCACATTGTATTTTAATTCCTTGGACTTCAACTGCTAATTAATCTTCTCTTAACTCTTTATTTATCAATTTGCAGTACTATTTCTATTATTTCTTTAAAGCGGTAACTAAATATGTTTCTTCTTCATTTTACAGATTAGTTATTGTGAGATGAAATCTTAAAAATATAAAAAAACTTTTCCGACCTTGCTCGCATTCTTATATCCATTTTGCAGCTTGCTATTGCAAATTTAAATAAATAATGTGAAGCTTTAACTTTTATTAGGTTAAGTGACATTAGGGATACATTTTATCCAGCAGAATAAGGAGCTACGAACAGCAGCCCGAAGCTGCGCCGCTGACTTTACGGTAGCGTCGCAACATGTCGCTTGGCTGCAAACGATGCGTTTAAACATACAATTACGCAAAAGCGGTAGTGGAAAACTTTTAAGTAGTAATAGGGCTAGACCCCTCTCCGTCTCCCTTGACCCCGTGACGGAGGGCCGAGGTCGACGCGCGCGCCATTGACTTTTCGCTCAGACCCTCTAAGGTTGAAAAGTAAAGATAAAACTGATTACATACTATATAATAGCTCCGGAGGAAAGATGGCGGATCAATAATAATTTAATCAACAAAACAGGTAACGTGGTCCATAAATTATGATTTGACTGTGTATCGAATTGTGTGTGAACCAAAACATTACAAGCCAATTAAAATATCATTTAAGGTTTTATCATAATAATCTGAACTAGTAAAACGATTCGCGTTTTATTTATGTATGATATTTTGGGCTGAAAAGTACTATATTTGTATTACAATAAATCCTTTATATACGTCTTATTTTTAGAAAAAAATTTTTTTTAGAAAAGTGAAGCGATATTGATGCTAGAATAATTCATTAATTCGTGTAGATTTTAATGGACTTAATAAATCGTTTCTTTAATAAAAACGATATTATAGTCTATTAAATGAAATTACTTTACTTGCAATAATAACTAACCACAACGTAATTGGTCGGTCGCGAATTAAGGCGACCGTATTGCAAATATTAACAAACTCAATATAATATATATTAGGGTTATATAAAGCTAAAGTTCTCACAAAACGAATAATATGGTGCGAATATCAATTCAAGTAGGTATCTAGGACTGATAAAAGGTACTACTACTGAACGACTTATCACATATGTATATCCTTTTTTACGCTGTTTAGACTTTAATCATTCTCGAAGTTCGTATTGAGTTCATCATTCGTGATATTTTACGTCCAATTTGAATACGAAACGAAAATTACTAAGTAATTCAATAAGTTGGACGTTTCTTTACATGTGTCCTATATGTTTAATAAAATATTTACTACACACAAAATATGTACATAGGTACCAGAGCGTACAAATAAACTGACCAGCTTCGACATTATTTTTCCGCTGATTTCTGTTTCTGGCCATGATACATAAAATATGTATATACTGTACTGAAATAAGGATTTTTACAGAAGACAGAACACGGTTATGGTGTCTTTTTTTTATATAATTATATACAAAAAAGCGTGACAGCGTGTTATCGGATTTTATCGAAATCAATAATATCGATAAAAAAGGTGGTTCAATAATAAATAAAACCATTTACATATATTCATTAATTTAATTACAAATATACACCAATTTACGCACTTAGTAAGCATTAAAATAACATATTATTAATAATATAAGTAATAAATGCGATATAAGCACCACGAACAGTTAGTTGCTTTAAACTCGGAAATAAGTAATAAAAATCTAAGAGACTTCAAAATCGCTGAGTATGCAAATTAAAAAATTGTAGCGCGGTACCACAATGGTTGCCAATAAAAATTTAAGAAAAAAAACAACTAATAGACCTTGCCTTAAAAATTATAAAAACTTTAAGTACGGACTAATAAATTAAAGAGTCGCAAGTTAGGGTAAGATTCAGAGATAAAACTTAGCCAGAATTTCAAGGCGAACGAGAAGTCACTTAATACACCTTGCTTGAATTTCATGTCAATAATAAATTAGCCCTGAGAACGATAATCATACTGATTGAACATAAATGCTCTGTAAATGTCTAAATCCTGGAGATTTATTATTCTATGTTTTTAATTAGACCACGCTTTTTTTCTTCAAAATAAGACGTTTCAACACCCGGATTATATTATAGAATTACCATTTCCCATATATATTTTTCTCACTCTTCATTCTTATTTAATAACAAATAAAATACAAAAGAACAATTTACACGAATAAAACAAAAACATGTTAAAATCGTTTTTTAACTTCCGATAAAACTTTACTGGATACATCATGTTAAAAACAATGTTAATTTATTTAAATTCATCATTAACAATTTCAAACTTAAGATTATTTTCGTGGAGGTGTTGGATAATGTTTGTGTCTCTGAACGCCACACCGGTGGTTAGAACTCCTCCCCTGAAAAAAATCAATATACATTTTCACTGTGGCGCGGTTTCAATTGTAGCGAGATGTTTGATAAATTTAACAAAATCATGTTGAAGAACTAGTCTAAATAATAGTTGTTGTGGTTTCTGCGACTTCATCTCTGAGGTCGTAGGTTCGAACCCCAGCTGGAACGGTTCTGCTACAAAATTATGTAATATGCGAAGGAGGCAAACAAAAATGTAAGACCGGGTCTTGCAAGCAATTGCGCCCCGGTTAGCTCATGAATATTGAAAATAATAATATTACTGATGTAGCCGGGGCGTATATCGTGGAGACGCGCATGTAAAAAAAGACAACGGGAGCACTCCGGGAGTGCCGGCAGAAGTGAAAACTTCAATATTTACGTTGTGTTTAATTATAAGTATAAAAGTACTATCATTTATGAGGTAGAATATAATGTTTATTTATTGCGCTATCGTACACAAATATGACAATTTATATGTTGTTATTTATAATATTATATCGTTATTTATATATTACATTAAATTGTATCTCTCAGAAAAATCAACTTCCATCCATAATTTCGACGACTTTTACACCATAGTTTTAAGACGCGGACTCTAATCGGGTGATTGAGGGAAGGAAATTGTATCAAATAGCAAAAACAACCCTCAATCACCCTACCCATGTCCAATCACAATGCTTATTGTGGTGTCATGAAAATGTAGGTTAATGCTATAAAGTATAAACATATTACAAATATTAAATATATTATGTGTCAATACAGACTAGATCGAAACCTAATCTTATAATTAAATATATATTTATTACTATTATTATTATTAGTTTTTTTACGTTTTATAGTTCTCAGCTTATAGCTGGGTTTTCTTGACGGCAGTTACGGGCTAAAGCCAAGTAAGAGTTTTTCATCTAGTAATTTATAAAGTACTTACTCATTTGCTTTCACTACTTCATCATCACTTTTTTCATTAATAGATTCACTTTGTTCGATTTCCATAATTTAAACAATTCACATTTACGAATACACAACAGTGTATTTACTACACAACAGTTAAGCAATCAGCTGTCACCATCCTTGGATACGCGTGGGACGCTGTACATAAACACACACGGTCATTCGCGCAAGCGCCCTGTGCCGCCTAAACAGAGCAGCACACTCAGGCACGGTAGAAAGAGTGGGAGATACTAGTTCCTCTCCCTTCCCCTCGATCTTACGCTTTTTCGATCAGCATCACGTGACCCTGACGCAAGTTTGAAAGTTTTTACCCATACAAAAGTGCTCAGCGCCGCTAAAGAAGTTTTCACTTCAAAAAATCTGGACACAATGGCAAGGGAGTAGAACGGGAAAAAACCCCCGGCTATGAACCAATGGACTTTCTAAAAGCAATTTTATCCGGAGAAAACCGGGATGCCTTAAACCGAAAAAGCCGACGGCGTGTGTCAGGCGCAGAAAGCTGATCACCTACTTGCCTATTAAGAACAAAATGATGACGATATAGATATTCGTATATAATAGACCTATTCGGTCCCTGACAGATATACCACTTTTTTTTGTTAGTTACTTACTATTTCCTAAGGCTAAGAAACAGAAA